TGTTTGTTGTTGTTTTATGCAAAAAAAAAAAAAAGAATATTCACGGAACGCCTTTTTTGTTTTGTTTTGTTTTGCTTTTAACTTTTAATTTTTTTCTGTTTTTTGCTTTTGAGCTTTGCTTTACTAATTCCCAGCATGTTTAAAATTAAATTTAATTGAATTCTCAGTTATTTTAATTACACTTTGCCGCAATTTTTTGTTTTTGAACCTTTGCCACGATTTTTTTTTTTTATTTAAAACAATTTGTCGCTAAAAATTATCTGACTTTTATTCTTTTTTTTTTTTTTTTTTTTTTCTCTTTTTTTCCCCTGTTTTTTTTTTTTTTTTTTTTTTTTTTTTTTTTTTTTTTGGGGGGTGAACGCGATGAAAATTGCTTTAAAAAAAAAAAAGTTTTAATGTAAAAATTCCCGTTTCGGCGGCCGGTAATTATTATTATTTCCTTTTAGAACATTCTATGTAATTAAGAGGGCAAACGCCGCAAAAAAAAAATTTTCCAAAACTTTTCCGTTTTTTTTTTCTGGGAAACTTTATTACATTACGCTTTTCTCGTAATTGTTTATTATTATTATTATTATTTTTGGTTCTTTAATTGCCATGTGCCTTGTGTTTCTTTCACAAGGTAACATGAAGGGTAAGGTGGAGGAGGGGAGGTGAATCGTATCGGTAATTTTTCCTTGCCGTTAAATAAAATGGCAGGTTTGAACGAGTTTCGAAAGCTCTTCGAAATCGTTTCTTTTTTGGGCTTTTTGTCGCTTTTAGTATTTGATAATTCTCAAAACTAAATTTAGATTTGTAGTGCGTGGTAAAAAAAAAGAATTTTTTTTTACGGTCGTTGATTTCAAACGTAATCGCGGAAATTTAAAAAAAAAAAAAAAAAAAAAACTTGGTAAATGTTGTTGCCATTTATGAGATTGCCTTGAAAGGTTTTTCGTCCTTGTCGAATCATTCAGCGTAATTCATCCTACAGTTTAAAAAAACATTAATGGTAACCCAAAAGAAGAGAGAATATTTGTTGTCTGTTTTATTAATTAATTCATTTATTTATTTATTTTATTCTTAAGTGGAATCTACATTAAAAAACCATCAAGTTTCAAAGTGTATCATTTTTCCCCCCAAAAAAATTTACAAAATGAGTTTTAATGTGGATCTCTTCAAAAACGAATCACAATATTTTAACATTTGCATTTTATTTATTTCCTTTCCTGCATTCTCCCCCTTTCCCTTCCCCCCATCCCGGTTTCATCCCTTTCTCGAAGTTGAATTTCTAAAGATTTTTTTCTTTTTTTTTCTATATATATTACTATCTTCTCTTACGTTTCCTGACAGTATGCAATCCTTTTCTGCCTCAGGGAATACCCCAATTAAACATGACACCGTCCTCAGATTTAATGCCGCGAAAATCGTCGGAATTTCAAAAGGATCTCGTTACGCTGGAAGAAGAGGACGCGAGCGATGATTTGACGAAAGACGATGAAAATTTAATAATGAGTCGAGAGGATTTTCCAAATTTAAAAACGGAAATCATTTGGATGAAAAACGACGGGATAAACGTGGATTTTAACGGGATCGATTCCCTCGTCGAAAAATCACCCGTCGTAACGGAATTACACGATCAATCTGATACGGATTTGAAAAATAATTCGAAAAAGATAAAAGTTCGAAAAGTCAAATAATAATAGAAACAACGAAAATGGCGTCGGACGTAATGATGTTGTCGATAATGATGATGATGATGATGATGACGAATCCCCCATTAGTTATTATGCGTTATGGGTGACGACGGTTATAACGACAAAACGCGTTCGTTACACTACCGTAATTTAATTCTGTAAAAGTATAAATTTGAACTATGTCCTTTTATTTATTTATTTATTTAATTATTTAATTATTTAATTATTAATTTATATTATTTTATTTTTTATTTATTTATTTTTATTTTATGTCGGTGATGTAGGAATCGGTTTTTACACGAAATATATATATACATTTATTTATAAAAACGTTGAATGATAATATTATTTTGAAAGTTTTCGCGTGTGTTTGTGTATTTATTATTTAGATCAAGTGAACTTTTAACCTTTTTTATAGAAATTGTTGACTTAATTACCTGCTTCGCATTGAATTCTTTTGTTTTAGGTACGTTGACACGATTATTTTTCAAGTAAGTAACAAAACAATAAAAATTTTTTTTTTTTTGGAATTATTGATTTTACGAGTGCGATAAGTTCAATAAATTTCTCTCTATTTTTTTTTTCTTTTTTAAATGGTGACGGGTTCTGAATAATAATTATTAACATTTCTTTCGCACGCACGCACGCACACGCACAAATAAATTTTTTTTTTTAACCGCCATGTGAATATATAAACAATAAAGAAAAGTTGTTGCGATTTCTTTTTAATTCGTTGTTCCTTATATCATTACAGGGTGGAGGAGGTCTCGTTAGTCATTTAAAAAAAAGTTATAGTTTAAGTGATCTTAGCGGGGAAAAACCCACACTGGGAAATAATTACAGAGATGAAGTCGATCATCAACACTACGAAGGTTAGTCGATTGTAAAGAAAAACAAGCGGGCGGGGAGGGAAGGGAGGGAAGAAGAGAAGTTTTGTAATGTCGGAGCTAATGATGGATTACGATAATATGTTTTGTTTCAGGTTCAAACATGAAACAAATACCCGAAAATAGAATTCCCGGAAATTTTTTTCCCGGTGCAAACTATCCCGGTTTGTATTACGCGGGAAGCGACGTGGATTTCGCGGGAGACAATCACCCCCCGTACGGGTAATAGTAATAAAAATAAATTTCGATGCGAAAACAAGGATCGAAGGATGTTTTCAATTTTTTTTTTTTATTTTTTTCAGTCGGATTTCATCGTTGGAAGAAATCAGTTCCGGTTATTCGAGCGGTGATCCTTTGTATAACGATAATTTAATTTCGAGGGGAGATCATTTGGTGAGAACGGCATCTCTAGGCGGTACCAGTCGAATTCGCACAAGGGCCGCAACCAAAGCCGCCGGCCTATCCAAAAGATCTTCTCTGACCGAGGTAAGACCGTCCATGATGATTATTATTATTTTTTTTTTTCTAAAGCTTTGTGCTGCTTTTTAGTGCGATCGTCAATTGTTTGAACATTCATTGTGAAATTTTTTTTTTTTTTTTTTTCTCTTCTTAATAGTCTTGTCAAGATTTCAGTCGATTATTTTGAAAAGGATTTATTTCAGCCGTAAAAAAAATAAAAAAAAAAATAAAAAATTTGCAGGCGTGAGTTGGATGTTATTATTATTATTATTATTAGTATTTTCACACTCGAGCACTATTTTTTTATAATAACACTTTATCCTAGAAAGTTCCACGGTGAAAAGTGACTTAAATTTTGTTTTTTTTTTCAAAGCGGTTACATTTTCCGGAGCAAAGTATCGGCGTTAATTAAATTTAAAAAATTTTTCTCTTCCAGTCGTTCAGGTTGTCCAAAATCAAAACAGGAAGAAAAAAGTCGTCACGTTTTTAAATTAATTTTTTTTTTTTCTCTCCAGGAATGAGTCATTGTTACCGACGGATGGTGTTACAACACAAACTAATAATAAACGCTTTATAAAAAAAGCTTTCGCTTAATTAGTTAATTGGTTTTGGGTATTTAAACAAAAGAAAAAAAAAAAGTTCGAACGCATTATTATATTCGCTTCGCTTTGATTTATTTAGACGTTCATAAGTAGCAGGAGGGGAGGGGATTGTATTATTATTATTATTATTATTTTTTTTTTTTTTCAAAAGCAAACATTTCGAGCTTTTTATTAGTTTGTGACCGGCTTGTACTCCGCTTACGTTAATCTACGACTTTGACTCCTACTCATCAAATTTATACTTTTTGTTCTTTCTTTTTGAAGGAAAACACTGCATGGTCAGAGGAAGAAGTGATTCGAGGTCAAATTAATACTGACAATTTCTTTCTTTTGCCTTTATCACGTTCTTCATCCAATCCGTGTACCTTCACCGCTTTTAATCACATGGTCAAACCTGAATTTCAACATTTTTTCGGCGGGATTAGTCAAGAGCAAATTATTGCCCTTGTCAATTCCTCGAATTCATCACATCCCATTATTCGCACCGTGGACGCTTCTAACGAAAGTGAAAATCCGGTAAATGATAAAAATTCGAACTCGAAATCCGACAACGCGAACGATTCCGACGTTCGCATCGTCGAAGTCGTCGAAAACGATGGAAATAATACGAAAGTCGAAATGGGTGGTTTTTCCGACGGAACGAAAAATGAAAAAAGCGACGCGGAAGTAAATAAGAAAGAGAGTTCGCCTTCTGGAGAAAACGAGAGAAGTGGAAAATATAAAAAAAAAAAAGTTGCGCCCTCTCCGCCGTTCGGAGAAAAAAATTCATCTGGTAAAATAATAGAAATGGGAGAAATCGTCGAAAATGACGACGACGACGAATTCGGGACTCCGAATTCGTCACCGGAATTGCACCGGAAAAAACACAGTTCGTCGTATTCGAACCTGGTCGAAGAAATGGCGGATACGCCGCGACCGGATAAGAAAAATGAAAAAACGGGGAAAAAAGACAATTTGTTTGAAGTGCCGAAAAAGAAAAAAAAATCGAAGGAAAAGAAAAAGACGAAAAAATTACATCTGCCGAAAATGTCGTTTTCATTTTGGAATCAAAAGAGTAATAAAAATTCATCGGAGTCGTCGGAAAATTCTTCGATCGCAAGTTTTGAAAACGGAATCGTTCCCCCGGCGGAAAAATCCAAAAACGATTTGGAGTATTTTATTCCCTTGAAGGGGGACACGACGAACGATGGAGACAAAGCAAAAGAAAATCGGACGGAATGACCAAAACATTTTCCTCATCATCGCTTCGTTACATTTTCATTTTCGATTTCTTTCTTTTACCCGCTAAATCCACTTTTAGTTTTCTTCACTTCCCTTCCCCCTCCCCTCCCCTGCCCTCCAAAAAAAAGAAAAATTTAGGCACGTTCTCAACCTCATCCGAACGCATTCTTCATACGCACAACATATCTGCGGGTGATTCGGTGCGTTTTGATATATACGCAAAATTCTTTTATTTTTCTTGCGTGTGTGTGTGCGGTCGTGCGCGCGTCAATGTGTAACACGAGGCATGTACTAAAAAGGAAAAAAATGGATAAAATTTTCTTTTTACATTTGCGCCAGCTTTCGTTTCCGGTAAAAAAATTTTTGCCTACGCGCGACATTAAATTCACTTAACATTTATAAGCGAGGTCAATATGGCGAGCAAAATTTTTCTTTTTTTTTTTCGTTTGTTTCTTCGTTTCGCACGTGTACGCGTGCCGAAAGCGTAAAAGGTAGGAAAAAGATGACGTAACGGGATAACGACCGACGGGAAATTGTTCCAGTGAATTGGTTTTCAAATTGGAAACAATCGGAGCGATCGAGCTTTGCTGTCGTTTGTTGTCTTATTTTGCACTTTCAACTTTTTTCTTTTCTTTTTTTACACGCACGAGTGGCAACCTGTAGTTTTTGTTTGTATTTTCTACACCATTTTCAACAACTAACAAACGTTTTTTTTTTTTTTTTTTTAAATTTTTTTTCCAGGATTCACGTCGTCGTTTCGACAAAACAAAGCAATAATAATAATATTAATAATAATAATAATTTGTAGTAGATTTGTGTAATTGCGTACTAACGATCGAGTAGAATTTTTTAACAAAAAAGCAGAAGACGCAAAAATTTTAAAAATGAAAGTAGATAGATGCATTACACGATTTTGAATCATTTTCGAATGGACGGTTTTATCGAGACAAAACCGTCCATTCGAAAATGTTTTGTTTTTGTTGTGTCCGCCATATTTGAAACCCGAATTTTGTTTGTTGTTGTTGTTGTTTTGTTTTCTTTTTTCACGAATGTGTTATTTCAGGGATCTCACTACGCGACACTACCCAAAGTGAAAAAATCGTCGAAGAAGAAATAACGAGAACGTTCATCGATATGATCTCAATTGGAACTAGTTAATTTAATTTAAAAAAAAAAAAAATAGTAATAATAATAATGATGATGATGATGATGATGATGGAAAGGAACGGTTGTGCGTAAATTACGAAAAAAAAAAAAAAAATGGGGGGCCTTAAAATGAAAAAATAAAAGAAGAAGAAAAAAAAAATTTTTTGTTTTTGCTAGGCTGTGTAAGAGTTTCTCTCTCCTTTACGATTTATAAAGAAAAAAAATTTTTTTTCATTCATTGCGACACGTTCGAACGTTCGCACGTTCGCGGTTTTCGATTTCTTCTTAACTTTTCCTTTCGAACGGCGAATTTTCCCAAAGTTTTTTTTTTTTTTTTATTGTGTGCGTCACCACGCGCCATTGCTCAAATAAAAAAAAAAAAAGTTTCGATCCCGTCCGTCGGAAAATGTTCGTTTCCAAAGTGTTTCCGGTTTTTTTTTGTTTTTATCCAAACGTTTGGTTGGCGAACGTGGTTATGACTTTTTTTTTAATATTTACAGATTTTTTCATTTTTATTAGACGTCGTCCGTCGATTATTTTTAATTTTAACTATAGATAGAATCGTTTAACGTGCCTAAAAAAAAAAAAGAAAAAAGCTTTAACGAAAATATGTAAATAATATAAATATAGTGTTTTATTATAATTATTATTATTATCGAGTCGTGATTTTTTATGATTATTGTATTGTAGGAGCGTTACCAGAGATTAATTATTATTATTATTATTATTATTATTATTATTATTATTATTATTAATATTATTATTACATTGATAAAGACGAAGAAGATGATAGAAATGCGGATCGTGCGAAAAAAGAAAAATTTTATTTAAAAAAAAAAAAAAAAAAAAACGTTAATTAATTTATAATAATTATTATTATTATTAGTGATTATCATCGAATGCAAAAAAAAAAACTATTTCTTTTTCGATTTTAATAATAATAATAATAATAATAAGAATGCACGAATGGCAAAAAAAAGAAAAAAAAATTTTTTGATATTATATATTATTATTTTTTACTTATTTCATTTTGATATGTTTGTACGAATATTATTATTATTATTTTTCGTGTAATTTAAAGAAAATTTAGTCGGTTTGTCTTTTTTTCTAAAATTATTATTATTATTATTTCTTTTATTTTGTAAATTTTATATTACTAACATGTGTCATTTTGTAGTTTTTTTTTTGTTGTAATTTTTTACAAGTCGAAAATATTTTTTTTGTATATTTCATCACAATTGTTTTTTTTTTTTTATATATAAAACAATAAAATTTAAAAGTTTTTTTAAAAAAAAATAAAATAACGGTTTTTTCTTAAAAGAATTTCCTCTAAAAAAAAAAAATTAACGGTTTTGTCGTACTATTAGATTCTTTAAAATTTATATAAAAATGCATTTTAATATTCTCACAATGAGATTTTATTTAAATCGGGGCATTAGAAATATTAATTTAATAAAATTTTAACTTTTTTTTTGCCGAAATTAATTTAAAAAATAATTTTTTTTTTGTTTTTAATTTCATTTCGAAAGTAGATTTAACCGCTAACGTATTTTTCTCTTACGTTTTGGCGCCAAAATGATATTTTCACGTGGTTTAAGACAAATGTAATAACGAGTGGGTGTTACATACATACTAAAGTTGATGTGATTTACGAAGGAATAAAATAAATAATTTTGTATTTTAACCGTTTTTATTATTTAATAAGTATTTTATTTGTAATAATAATTAATTAAATTCGGATAATTATTATTTAAAATAATCGTGATTATGTAAATATTATAAATTTACATATGAAGTCATGGCGACTACCATGGTAACCAATACAAGCTCATGATTGATTTAATTTACAAAGTTATATTTTATTGTAAAAAAAAATGGCATCTCAAAGTTGGTTAACGGCAATTAGTAATTCAGAAAAAACGTGTATAATACAAGACGGTAAAAAGAAAATATCACGCGTTTGAGGTTATATAAAAAAAAAAAAAAAACAATTTAATTAATTGTAATACTTCAAATGCAATTTATATAATTAATTTAAACATTTGATTCTTTTGATTAAAAGTTTTATATTTTTTGTTAATATAAAGGTCGGAGAAAAGTACATTTTAAATTTTCCGATGGACAAGAAATGGTTGAAGAATACAATTTGGAAACAAATGTTGTCGTTAGGAGAGCATGGAAAGTGACAAAAAAATTTGGTTCACAACCCAAATGGGAAGTTGAAATCGGTGATCCAGAACCATGTTTTCAAGAAGACATGGAAAATTCTGGAATAAAAGAATCTTCAACAGCTGTAAGTAAACAATCAATACAACCCATAACAAATTCATTTATGTATCGAAGAAAATCATTACATTTTAATTTATTTTAGCCGACGACAACAGCAAGAATCACAAAAAATTGTTTGGAATGGAGAATTCGTAACTTACCTTATCCAATAGACAATTATACAGTTTTAGCTAGTCAAGATGATAATTGTATCATTGTAAAAACTAAAAATAAAAAATTTTTTAAAAAAATAAGAGTTCCAGATTTAGAAAGGATTGGTGTTAAATTAGAACAAGATAAAATAGATTATTCGCATAAATTTAACACATTAATTATATCGGTTAGTATCACATTCTCTTAATATATATTAATTCCTTTTAATTGTACAAAAGCTTTTATTTATTATTAATTGTTACAATTTACATCAAAACCATTCTCTCAAATTATCATTATTATTATTATTTTTTTTCAGTATAAAAAACCACCACAATTAATCTTATCGGAAAAATTAATATTAGAAGAAGTAAATAAATTAAAATCTGTGAAAGAAAACGATCAATGCAAACAAAGCTAAGTGAGAAAATTTAATTATTTTTTTTTTTTTTTTATTATTATACACATTACAATTTAATAAAAAATATTTTTAATATATATATATATTTATGTTTCAACATTTTATTCGATGAATAAAAACAAAAAAATTATTATTATTATTATTATTTAAAATCGCTTATGAGTTTTTTTAATCTACAAGGTTTTTTGTTCTTGTTGTTATTGAGCCAATTTAATATTGTTTTTATACTTATTCTTAATAATAATTTTATAATAAAATAAAATTTTAAAAAATGTTAAAACCTGAATTTTATATTTATATATATATATATATTTAGTGAACGTACGATTTTAATTATTCATAAAAGGAAATCTACAAGGTGATTCTCATTCGAATATAAAACTTTTTTTTTTTTTTTTTGTTATCATATGTATGTATAATTTTTTTTTTGCTATTAATTTTCTTACAGTGAATGAGTTTTCATCATCATGACCATGAAGTTTTTTTTTTTTTAAATTGCGAAACAAACCATTAACAAAAAAAAAAAAGTTTAACAATTCCATTATTTAAATAAATTAAATGTATTGGAAAATGTAAACTTAAAACTAGTTTAAACATAGGGTTAGTATAAAAACTAAACGAAAAGGAAATAATAAACTTTTATTTCCGGTTTAAAATAAAAAATAATAATAAATAAAAATTTTCGAAAGTTATTTCGATTATATTATTAAAATCCGTAACAGGGATTATTAATTATTATTATTATTATTATTATTATTATTATTATTATTATTATTATTATTATTATTATTATTATTATTATTATTATTTTAAAAAATTATGGAGGAAAAAAAAAGTAAAAAAAAACATTAAACACGCCACTGTTTTTTTTTTTTATGTGATAAATTAAAAATTTTTCCGTTTCAAATCGTTTTCTATTTCCGCTTTTAAAAAATTTAACGTGTTTCATAACAAATAATAATAATAATAATAAAATTCAGGTTTTTTTTAAATTTAAATGATTTATTCGAAACGTGATGTTGATAGTGATGATAATACACACCCTAAAAAAATTTAAATTATTGAGTTCCCCTACCCCCCCCCCCAAAAAAAAGCTCACAAATCGATCGATTCTTTTGTTTTTTTTTTTTTTTACAACCTGATAATTAATAATAATAATAATAATAATTTTGGGCCTAACTTAACAAGTTTTATATTTTGTTTTATATTTTTTCAATGGCATTACGGTTATCAAGTTTTTTTTTTTTTTTTTTATTTAAAATTTTTTCAATCTAAGGTGATGATGATAATGATAATAACTCGTTAACAATTTTCATTTATTTATTTATTATTTATTAATTAATAACAAACGATTTTTTATTGTTTTTAGGATGATGATAATAATGATAAAACAATCGATTCGAGAATCACGATGTGGAAAGTTGGTGACCACGAGAAAATTTACAACGAAACGGAAACTATTAACAAGTAATTAATTAATTTATTATTATTTATTTATTTATTAACGAATCTATTAACGTCTTTAAAACGATTCCACGATGATGATGATGATGATGATGATTATTTAATAATCATTTTACATAAATCTTTATATAGTATGAGGTGACAAGAAAAAAATCTCATTTTTCAAGGTCAAAAAACTATTTAAACTCTCCTTTTTTTTTTTTTTTTATTTAATTTATCCATTTTCATTTTGTTTAAATAAAAACCAGACGAGAATAAACGTTTAGGTAAACGGAAAATAAACGAAATGATAATAATAATAATAAGAGAGAAAAAAAATGGCTGAAAAATCAATAATCGAAAAAAAGTGAAATGTAATGTTGTAGCCATTCGATCGATTCGATTCCGTTTTTTTCCTCATTATTATTATTATTATTATTTTATTTTCGTTCTCGTGAGTTAACGTGCGTACGTGCGTTGAGTGCGTACGTGCGTGTAATGTGTGTGTGTGTTACATTACACAGGCATTGACCCCGTTTAAGGTTTAATTACAAGTGAAAGTGATAATTTAATATTAAACTTCTATCGTATGTACAACAAATCATCATCATCATCATCACCTGTATTAAAATTTTAAAAAATTTCTATCTCTCTCTCTCTCTCTTTTCTAGTTCCACGTTTTTTTTTTATTGCTTTACTTACTGTTGTTAAATATTTTACAATAAGTTTGAATGAGTATTTAATAAGAAAAAAAAAATGGAGGAGAGTCGTGATAAAATGGCTGCCACGTTTTTAATGGAAACACAATTTCGTACAATTATTATCATTATCATTACCCCCTTTTTTTTTTACGTTGGTTTCGAATTTTGTAAATGATTATTACGGTTGTTGTTGTTGTTGTTATAAAAAATTTTGGCATTCGCAATATTTAATAATTTACATAATTTTATGATATTACAAAAAGTTTAGCAATTGTCATCAATTCTGAACGATTTAGAAAATTATTTTAAACGATAAAATGAAACGCTTCGTTTTTTTTTTTTTTAATTGAGAAGAAGGGGAATCGAAAATAAAAAAAAGAACGAGTTGTTGGGATAACAAACAAACAAACAAACAAACGAATAAAAAAAAAACTGGAATTTATGTACGGAAAAAAAAAAAAAAAAAAAAAAAAAACAAAAATTCCCGTTAAAAAGTTTAGGAAAGTTGCAAATTTTTTTTTTAAAAAGCGATAAATTTTAAAATTAACCCCGCCCCCATATTTAATCTTTAAAAAAAATCGAAATTAAATTTTTTGAAAACAAAATGGTTGCGAAATAAACAAAATAATAATAATAATAATTTAATGTTTTGTTAAAAAAAAAAAAATAGTCAAAACAAAAAACGTGCGGGGGAAAAGCGAAAGAAAGAAAGAAAATTATTGTGTTTTTAAAAAAAAAAAAAAAATTAATTGTTAAATAAATTAAAAATAACGATGAAAATATGACAAAAATGGATAAACAACAATAACAACAACAATAACAAACAATCGGCAAAAAAAAAGAAAAATTTAAACGAATGTAAAACTAGAACACGATTTATTATTATTATTTTTTATTTATTTTTAGAATAATTTTCCGTTTTTTTTTTTTTTTTTTTTTTTTTTTAAAAAAAAAAAGCCCCTATTATTGATGAATTTAAAAAAAAGCAAACGATTTTTTTTTTTCGACCTTAAGTATAAAAAAACAGTTAAAAAAAAAAAAATGAAAAAAATTTTCCGACAAAAAAAATTTATTTTTAATTTTTTTGATTTATGTATCACCGGAAAAACCCTAGAAAAATAATTATCACGAAAATAACAAACAAATTTTTACAAATAAAAAAAAATCCTCGCGGAAAATTGTAGAAAACAAACAAAAACAAACAAAAACAAAAGAAAAACGAAGAAAAAAAAAAAAACGTAAATCAAATTACATTAAATTGTTTTAATTTGACTCCGTATTAATTTTTCATCAATGATTACGTCACTAATTACGTCACGATAAAATTTTATGAATGAGATCAATTGGAAAACCGGAAACGGAAATAGAAAAAAAAAAAAAAATTCGCAACATTATTCGAGAAAAAAAAAAAGTTTAAACACCTTTTTTTACTCTATCGACCTTGTAGACAAACCCAAACATATTATTTAATTAAGAGCACGCTAGCAGACGAAATCGAGGAAATCGCTTAAAAAAACTCGTTGCAGACACGTCTAACAGTAAATAAATAATAATAATAATAATAATAATACTGATAACGGTTAATGATAAACAATAATAATAATAACAACAACAACAACAAAGTCTCATCGACGCATAAACATTTTCAATTTTTATTTAAAAAAAAAAAAAAATGAAATCGTTGAAATATTTATTAGCAGAAGAAAATGAATATAAAAAAAATGATAATAATGATAATGATAATAATAATAAAACGACGACGACGATGACGATGACGATGACGACACACGTGTTAATAAACGATTTGAAATTTCATAAAAAAATATATTTATTATTATTAATAATAATAATAGTTTTATGTGGACAGCCAAAAATCGACGTTTGCCTCTTCCTCCCCTCCCCCTTTTTGCCCCCCCCCTCCCCGGTTACTCCGTCGGATTTTGAAATTTTTAAAAAAATTTTTACTTTTCCTTTTTGCATTTATGAGGACGTTTAAAATTTTTTAAAACAAACAAACGAAACAAACGTTATCGTGTTACCTCACGGTTGATTTAAAAATAAGGTACATCATCATACATGGCGGAATCCTTGAAACATAAAACATAAGCAAAAAAAAAACATTTTAACGTCTGATCGGTTTTATTTACGGTAACAAAGAATAAAAAAAAAAAAAAAAACGTTGATGAATACAAACGGAAAAGAAAGAAAAAAAAAAAAATTTGAATGGAAAATATTTAAAATCTTGTCGCAGGCTAAACATTGAGAGGGGCGGGGAGGAGGGAAGGAGGGAGGGAGGGATTCGATTGCAAACTTTGTTCAGCGTTTTTTTTTTTTTTTTTTTTGTCTTCTGCTCTTTTACACGATTACGAATTTTGCGACGGCAATGAAACGCGAAGACCTTGTAATATGAAAAAAAAATTAAGAACATCGATCTCCCCTGAACTTTTCGACGTTGACGTTGTTCGTTTTTTTCTTTTTTTTTCTATTCTAAATTTTTGTCGCAGTTTTACAAAAAAAAAAAAAATTCACCTGCCGTCGATATGTTTTTATCATTAACCTTTGACGTTAAGGTTGAGAGGCTAAAGGGGGCGGGGCGGGGGTCGACGGCGAAAGGAAGGAAAAGGCGTAAACGTGAGAATTTTTTTCTTTCTTTCCTGATTAACAAACGAATTTTCTTATTCGAATATTTTTTATTGATAAAAATCAAATCTGAATTTCTCTTTTGGTAAACGACCAATCATCCTACCCCTCCCCCCTCCCTCCCTGCCTCTCTACTCCTCCACACCTTTTCCCTCTTCCCCCGTAAAAAAAAAAAAAAAAAAAAATGGCAAGTTTATCCCGAGGCAATGACACGATAAATTATTTTTTTTTTTAAATCCGCGACGCTCTTCGTAAGTCTCACATTCAATAGAACAAACAAACAAACAAACAAACAGACAAACGTAGGAACGTTCGCATCTTTTTGCGTATGTTAAAAACGCACGCATTTCGTACATCCCACAACAATTTCAATTTACGTCATTAATTGTATGAATAACAACCCGAAATAATAATAAATTTGTCATTTTTTTTTTTTTTTTAATCCACCGCGTCGGCGGTTACGGTTACGGCCCCCCACTACTTTGGGGGGGGGACAGAAAGGGATAGGACGACAAAAATAATTATTTAATTAATAATGATAATAATAATAAATTTTTCTTTTTATAATTATTATTATTTATTCATATAATCATTTCACGTATAATATAATAAAACATTCAATTTAACAATCACAATTTTTCCTTTCTTCTTTTCTTTTCTTTACTTCTTTCCCCCCCTTCCCCTCCCCTCAAATCCTTACTTTATTCTCTCCCACACTTCATTTTATTTTACATAATCATTTATCTCTCATATATATATGTATGTATAAATATAATCACAATAATCAATAACAAATCAATCAAATATGGCTGCCGCATTTCCCACTCCCCACCCCCACCCCCCCATTCCATTCATTCATTTTATCATTATTATTATTATTATAAAACAAACAAGTCTATAAAAAATTATAAATATATAAAAAAAGTCTCAGTACTCTGTGTAATGTACAACAAAAAGTATGCGTGAGTGCGTTTGTTTGTGTTTGTGTTTGTATGTGTGTGTGTGCATGGATGTTTGTTTGTGTTTGTATGCTAGTGAATATTTATGCATATGTACAACGACTTTATTCCTTATTTTATGTATAAATAATAATAATAATAATAATTTGTATCGCTCTCTGCGGCAAGGCGACACACTTTCTTTTCTTTTCTTAATTCTAAACGTTTCCCCCTACGACTTATATTTATTATTATCATTATTTTGTTTTTTCTCCCCTCCCTATACACGAGCCAGTTTGCTTTTTTTTTTTTTTTTTTTTTACCCAACCTAAAATTAATTTAATTATAACCGTAACGATAATAATAATAATAATAATATCATATACATTTATACGAAAATAATAAACGTTTTTTATTATAAATCTGAGTTCACGTTTTTAATATATAATATATAATATATATATATATATATATATATATATATATATATATATATATATATATATATATAATTTTTTTTTGTTTCTGAACGTACGTTTAAATAAATACTTTCTCTTCAGACTAAATTAAATGACTCATTAAAATATAATCAAAGAGAGAGAGAGAGAGAGAGAGAGAGACAGAGAAATAGAAAATAACAAAAAAAAAAAAAAAAAAAAACAGACAAGCAAGATAAATTTTTATGAGCTCTCAGTACGATTAATTTTTTCCTTTTCTTCTTCTTTGCGAACGGTTTCCCATCCCAGACACAAAGCAACATCGTGGCAGGAATAATAGCATTGCTAATAGTAATAATAATAATAATAATAATGTTGAAAAAATATATATATATAACAAAATCCCATTTGATTCATCAGGTTCTTGCGTTCGATTGCGTTGTCGTTTCCTCTTTGGATGAATCTCTAGAATTGGTCAACGCGAAAACGGGATACATGAGTGTCGTTTTCAATTCTTCGTTGTGTTCTTCGAGGGAATTGTTCGCGTAATGGAGAACGAGCTGTTTCAAACTCGGATAAATGTTGTAGGGTTCGGCGAAACCGAATCCCCTGTCCGTTTGGTATATTATGCAATGATTTATGACTCCGTTGCAAACGATGGAAAGAGCGTATTGACCCGAACTGCTCGGTCTCACGAGAAAAGTTCCCTCGGGTTTGGATTCGAGCAGAGTCGCGGCTTGAGCTCTCGAACATTCTGGCAAATTCCATAGGTATTCGTTTTGGTGAGGCATGGATTTTAAATTTTCATCCGTTTCCAATTCTCTCAAACCCCAGGGCGTTAAACTTTCCGGAGCGAGAAAATGATCTATTTGACTTTGTTTGACTCCCTTGCACAAAAGCCATTTCATGTGTTGCTCTTTTTGCTTCGACAAACCCAACATTTCTCTTTTGACCGTGAGCATTTCTCTTTCCAATGTTTTGTAATAGGCAACTTGTTGTTTTAAATTTTCTTTCAACAACTCTCTACTTTCTTCCAAAGATTTTATCCTCTGCTTGAGCAATTCGCTGTTAACCATTAAACTTTTGATTTCGTGAGGTTGAGCTTCCTTTTTGAACCTTTCCTGTAATTCTTGCTGCTCTTTGAACATGTTTGTCAATTCAATGAATGCATCCATCGTGGGACCTCTTTTAACTTCAATTTCTTTTGATATTTTATTAAAATCTTCTTTTAATTTTTGAAACGTTCTACTCTTATCTTGCAATTGAGCTTCTATTTCTGCCAATTTTTTAGCAACTTTTTCTATATTCAACGAACTGGCTATTTCATCTTCTTGCTGAAATCTAGAAACTGGATAAAGTAATTTTATATCTAATGTCGAATTATATTGAGCCAAAGATGACGTCTTATAAAATTTAACTAATTCTACGACAGAATTAAATTTATAAGGTTCTGAAAAACCGTATTTTCCATTTTTGTGACAGATTTTAATTAGTTTATTTGTACCACCTTTTCTTAAAGTTAATGTATATTCTCCTCCCTTGTTGGAAGCATTTCTAACAAGAAAAGTACCATCTGGGGTATTCATTAGTTTTTCATTGACTTCTTCTCTTGTTATGTCACCCCAATACCATTCAGCATCTTTAAGCTGCTGCTGTGCAGAATCACGATCCCTTTCCAATTCCAAATCATCTCTATAAGGATGAGGTCCAGGCCTGGAGACCTTTCGTGGGGGTAAGATAGGAGCAGACATAAATTCTGGTAGTTTTTCTCCCCAGTCTCCATGCAATAATAAAAGTTCTAGGATGCGAATGTGAGCTTGCAAATTGTGAACCACTTGATTGAATTGTTCCCAAGAAGGTCGCAAAAGTACAATGCAAAACACTTGAATAAATACGTTTTGTGGATTTTTGTAACCACATGCATGGTGCAACTGACATAAACGAATGCAGTGTGCTAACAAGAACCGCAGTGTAAGCTTATGATGCTCTGGCAGTTCATGTACCAAACTTGTTAGTCTGGCAGCACACTGAAAATCACTTCCACACAAAGCTGCTTCGATAAATATTTGGTATGATTGAACAGGTATCACTGGGTCGGGAAGTTCTAATAAATAGTTTTTTAATACACCTGATATAACATTTGTACTATAATCACTTAATTCGACGCCGTATAAATCCTCGTTCAATTTTTGTTTCAATGTTTTCACAGAATCATCATCACAAACTTTATATAATTTACTGATGTCTACAAATGGTAGATTCCTTGCTCTGTTTTCTAATTCTTGGGTTAACCTCATAACCACATAGGGAGCAGGTCTTTCGGCGGGATCGAACTGCGAACACAATCCTATTCCAAATAACGTATGTTTATTTGTTAACTGTTCAAGGCCACTAGAATGTAATGAATTTGGTGCAGAACACGCTTTATGAGCTTGTAACCCGCAATCGTAGCACAAATAACCCTCTCGTAAGACTCCGTCAATATATTTTTTGCATTTGTCACAGCTTCCTTCGCATTGGAAATTTTCTTGGTCTCGTAAGCAATGAACTAAGCTTCCAAACGCATCTCCTTCCCAATCTTCCTCCCGGTCTAAACGCAAACAACTCGCCGGAGTAGTTGACATCCGTCATTGTTAAATTAGAGCAAGCGAGAAGAAACTCCGCTGAGACCGGGATTTTTCAAAAATTTTTTTATTACACAATAAACCATCCATGTAACACGGAATATAACCGATTTAGTAAACTACCATAACTCTTGTTTCACACACAAATACCATCGATTTCTTTATCTTGTAGGAAATTTTTTTTTCTAAAGTTGGCACTTCGTCATAAAAGTGTGTCTGCCAATAAAAAAAAAAACTTTTTTCCTTTTTCTTTTTTTTTGGTTAACGTACATGAACTCATTAATTACATTTATTTAATTATTTATTTTTAAAATGAACAATACGAGTACGAATATCAAAAAAAATATATTTAAAATTCCAAAGAGGTAAATAAGTTATTTTAAATGTGTAATTAATTCATTAACCATATTTTATCATCATGACATGTAATCCATTCAATGTGAATTCATTTGACAATAAATTCAAATCGTTACGAATTAAATTTTTTTAAATTTACAGGTGGTTAAATTACGAAAATAATTCATTAATAACCGGTACAAGATTTGTTGCATCGAAACTTCCTTTGAAAAAGGTAAATTTTTTTGCATTTTGAATCAAAATCTTTTTTAAAAAAATTTTACTGTAACGGTTCTTTTTTTTTGTAATATTTTCTCATTCAACTTTATTATTAAATTTCTTATGGCCATAATATTAAAAATCTATTATTTAAATTAATAAAAAAAAATGCATGTTTAAAATTAAACATGGAGGGGGGGGAGGAAATGATATCAATCACTAATCGTTATTTCAACTTTTTAACTTGACCGAATAATACAAAATTTTATTTTATTTTGTTTTGTAAATATGATACAAATTACTCGATACTATTCTTCTTCTTTTTATTTTCACATTATCTATTTATTTATATTATTTTCCTCGAGTAAATTTCTACAATTTTTCAATATCATTAATTACTTATGCCTCTTTATATATAATTATTCATTTCATAAATGATAATGAATTATCTTGTGTAAATGTGTTATTAAATAAATTTCATGTAAATCATTTACAATAGAAGAAAAATATTGCAAGTCATTAAAGTCAAAAAAAAACCATTTTTATCATTATGACATAATATTATTGTCATGTTAAGTGAAAATAATATTGATGGTTTGTTATCGAAACTCAAATCGTCATTTTGAAATAAACATGATTTTACTCGATAATTGAGTTTTATGTACAAATTGTTAATGTTTTATCGTTTTTGTTCTTATGTGTTGTTATAATTATTGGAATCATATTATTTTTTCTTTCTTCGAAATGGAATTTTAACTTATGTTATTGGCAAAAATTAAAAATATTGTTTTTTCTCAAATTCTCTTTATAGTATGACAAGCGATTGTAAGTATATATATGTATTATTTGTTAAAAATGAAATCGAGTTGGTGTCAATAATTAATTCAGGTTGTTGTTTAGGTTTTAATTAGTTCAGGTTTTTATTCGAGCTTTATAATTTCTTTTTTTTTAAACAATTCAATACAACACAAAATATTACACACACACAAAAATAGGGTTATGGTAGTGAAAGATATAAATTGATATTCGCCTTATGTTTTAAATGGATGTAATCACAACGATTGCATGTAGTAGAAATTGCATAACTCTATAATTTTTAGGCGAAGTTTAAAAAGTAAAAATTTTGGAAAAAAATCAATATTTGAATATTATCGAAATTTATTATTATTATTATTATTATTATTATTATTATTATTATTATTATTATTATTATTATTATTATTATTACTATTATTATTATCATCATCATCATTTTGAAAAGAGAGTTTCGTGTTGTTTTTAGAAAAAAAAAAAAATTTCAAGATGGCGTAAAGTTTCTTTATTATCCCTTACTCTTCAACCGAACACACAAATATAATTCATCGTTTATTAATATCACGAACATAAATTTTAAATTCCTTTTTTTAAAAAAGCATAAATAAAATCGTTTTAATTTCTACGTCTGTCCCCCCTTCCCTCCCCACTTAAATAAATCAATCAAAACATCGACAGGAAAATTCTAAGAAAATCTTTTTTTAAAAAAAAAAACATTCCATTATTTGTTTAATTTCAATTTATAATATTCTTTTGTCATTTTATATTACCACCGATTCAGGGTTTTTTTTTGTGGGGGGGAGGGAGGTAGAAGGATGAGGATGAGGTATTAACGGGGTAAAAGTTTTAAAAAAATAAAATGGCGGGGAGTATTTGTGAATATTCGAAAGGATTTTTTTATAACCGAAGAAGAAGAAGACCTCCTGTTGATTCGGTTCAACCTGTTTTATGTCGCATAGGCGCTTAAATTTTATGTTTGATTTTGATGCACAGTTTAGATTCATAAAATATTTAAAAAATGACATTTCAACTCGTTTTGACCTTTTGTTGTTAAAAAAAAAAAAAAAACATTGAGACAAAAACGAAAGAGAGAGAGAGAGAGAGAGAGTGATAAAAACCCTTTTTTTTTTTTTTAATTTTGATTAAGTTTAATTTGTAAATTCATCGGGTCGAATGAAGGAAAAGAAAAAAAAGAAAAAGAAGAAGAAAAAAATGTCTTTTGTTTGTGTTGTTACTCAATCGAGTTACGAATCAAATGGTTTAATCTCACGTGATTTATAGTCACGTGAACTTTTAACCCCTGTAAAAGAAAGCATTGTTGTTGTTGTTAAATGTTAAGGGTTTTTCTTATTCTTCTTCTTCATCATCATCTTCTTCTTCATCTTCTACTTTTTCTTTCTTTTTTTACTGGTTATTTTTATTGCTTTCCCTTTTTAAAAGTTTCTTTCTTTTGTTCTTTAAATTCCGTTTACAATCTTACTACCGGCCTACGGTTTTAAGTTATCCTCATTCTCTCTTTCGATAATTTAATAATAATCGTTTTAAACGATATATCGAACGATTTTACTTATTTTTATTTGTAATTGTGATTTGTTTTGTAAAGGTTTTGGATTTTTCCAGAGTTTATTCCAGGTTTCTACTCGATTTTATAGTGTTGCTGCTTTCGAAGAATGTAGGCCGTCCCACATAGTGCTATTTCCTGGATGGTTTCTTCTTTTAGGTTCTTCAAAATTTTCTTTAAATTTCCTTTTATTGAATGTGATGGCATGGCTCCCAATGCTCCCACGATGACCGGAATAGTTTCTGTCTTTACCCCCCCACATCCTAGTTATTTCAATGTTCAAATTTCTCCAGTATTTCAGCCTTTTGTTTACTTCTTTGGCTGTCGTCTGGTGTTTTTTACCACCGGTACGAATACCTCACACTACCCTTCAGCATTACGTCTCAGTATGACATCCTGTTTGTCCTCTTTGTCTGTATGAATTTGCTGTCGCCATCGATTTCGAAATTTGATTGTATACAATTGTTTTCTTATGGATTTCCATGAATCGATCGTTTTTTTTTTTTTTTTTAACACATTCCAGCAACGAAAAAGTTTATAAAAAAATATTAAAAAAGTATCTTCTGTTTGAAATTGAAATTAAGACATCAAAAAAAAAAAAAAAAAAAGGTTGGCGTTCTGATTTAGATTCCAGTTTTTTTTCAAACGTAATAAAATTACGTTAAGACATTTGAAAAATTCCTCGTTGAGAAAGATGAAAAAGGGGTTAATAAGAGAGTGTCAGATTAATTGCAGATCACGTCATAGATATTTTATTCTCATTTGTCAATTTACAGTGTCGAGTCTCTGTGTGGTCAGACATAATTTTTTTTTTTTTAGAAGTAGAAGAAGAAATAGAAAGGTCGTTTTTGCTAGTCAGGTACATCAAAGATGATGTCGCAGTATATTAAAACCACGTCGCGTCGCGTCGTAGTTCAAAAAAAAAAAGGAAAATGTTACAATGCGATTAACATATGTTTTTTTTCCCCTCTAAGTTGATTTTATTATTATTATTATTATTATTATTATTATTATTATTATTATTATTATTATTTATAAAAGCGAAAAAATAGGTATTATTGAACGATGACGCGCATAGAAAATTGGATTTAATAAATTTTTTCTTTTTTTTTTTTTGACACGTTCGTCACGGTTGCCACGATTGTTTTTTTTTTTTTTTTTTATGGAATTAACGCCACCGTCGTCGTCGTCGTCGTCGTCGTCATCATCATTGCCAACCGCCGTGTAATAAGTCGAAGAAAGTAAAAAAAAAAAAAAAAAATTTTATACGTCATTTTGTCTCGCGACACGACGTAAAAATGAAATTTGATTAAAATATTCGTTCGATCGTTTTTTTCCTCATTTTTTTCTTTTTCGTCGTTGATTTTATTAAAAACCTGGAATTTAAAATAAATCGATCGATTCATGAACTCCAGTTTAAAGTAAGAAAAATAAATTTTTTACTTATCATTATTATTATTTTGGAATTCCAAAAAAAAAAAAAAAAAAAAAGAAATGATGACTCCTCACTCTTTGTCACTTTCAAACACTTCAAAAATAATAATAAATAATTTTATTTATTTATTTTTATTTGAAACATTCAAAGGATTTAAAAAGATGAGAATAATAATAATGATAATGATAATAATAATAAATTTTTTTTCCAGGTTTTTTTTTTTTTTTTATGGAAAAAGAATTTTTTATGTAAACAAAAATTCGTGTGTGAGTTTACCCTGTCAAATTCTCTTCCCCACTCGATGTCTTCATCCCCTTCTTTTTTTTTTCTCTTTTTCTTTTTCTTCTTCATTCTTTTATTCTTTTTTCATTATTGTTTTTAAATCTTTTTAAAAGTCCAACAACAACAACAACAACAACAAACCAAAAAAAGAGAGAAAAAAAACTCAGCGGCAGGTCTCCTTTTAAAGGGTCAACAAAACTCATTTTCGGTGTCTCTTATTTTTTAAATAGTAATTGATGTTAAAAAAAAATTTTTCCTTCTCTATTTTCTTTCACAAGAGAATTATAAGGTCATGCTATTATTATCATCATCATCATCATTATTATTATTATTTAAAGAATTTTAAATTAAATT